TTTGAAACCCTGTGGAATGCACTCCTCCACCACAGGATGAGGAGAAATGTCAGCAAGGGAAGCTATTGAGCTATTGAATTATTTTTGAAATAGGGCCCCATAACATTGTGATGGTGGCATTTTGCAGAGGAAATGACAATTGAGCAGGCTGGTATGGGGAAAGAAGGTTTTATTAGAGAGGGGTAAATGAAGAAACAAAAAAGCCAAACTTTGGAGAGCTAGTCCTTCAATCAAAGGTAAAGATGACGGCAATGCTAGGAGGGTGCTTGCTAGGAGCAGTAGAATATAAAATGATAAGACTAGCTTGGAACTAGTAACTTGTAAGAGGTAATGGCTGTTTCCCACATGGTTACAGTGTGTATATTAGAACTACCTTTTATAAGAACAAACATCTTCCAACTGCAATTTCTTTGATATAACACAATGAAAATTCACTCAAGGGCTCATCTCTTTTAGTACTGAGTCAGGAGCCAGGAGTCCTGCTTATGGTTCACGCTTAAGAAGGAATTCTTTCTGGCCCTGGCAGTTGAATAGACTACCTTTTCCCAAAGTATCTGTCTTTTATAGGATCTTAATCCCCACGCATGCTCCAAGGGGGGAAAAAAAGCTCCATAATTGTGTTTGAAAACATCAAGAACTCTTTTATTTGGATTTCAAAACTCATTGGCATGGCAAAGACATCCCTCTCATGGAACACTGAAATAGCCCTGAGAGCTAAGGTTTGCCAAGCAAGGACTAAGCCAGAAAAACCTGCTCCTAATTAAAAAAAATAACCCAGGGCTCTAGGTGTGGAGAACAAGCAGCCATACAAGGAATCCAAGGTCAAGAAAAAGAATAATAATTAAAAAGGATAATTAGAGAATTAGAAATAAGTTCTAGGCAAATTAGATTGCAACCAGTTATGGGACACTGTGAGGCGTGAGCTCAAGACAGGCAGCTTGCAACAGGAGCCCAGTCTGACATTCCCTCAGCCAGGTATCCTGTCAGTGAACTCCCGTTAGCTACCACAGTCCTCTGGCTGTGTCAAAGAAAATGATTCTATTCAGAGTGCCTCCTAGATTGAAAATTTTTGAACCTAGACTAAATGTTTACCTTTTCCCCAGGAATTTCAACTCTAGGAAGAATGAAGGATGATCCGAGACTTTTTCTGGATTTGAGGGCTGCGTCCAACTGAAGCAGATTCTGGGATAAGTCAGAAATCATGATTGTTTTCAGGATGAGCAGAATGAACCTGCTTTCCCAGTGCTTGGCAAATGCCATCAGCCTGTAGAAATGCTTATTTTTTTTTTTTCCTACTCAGTGTGTGAAGTTTAAGTGTCGTACCCACTGGAATGAGACCACTGCTAAGCAAAAGGGAGGTTACAGACTAGCTATGAAAATCAATCTGTTTTCCAAATCATTTCCATCCTTCTCTAGTGGCCTGATCTTCACAGTTTTGTCTAATATTTTACACTTGCTAATATCACCAAAATTCACAAGAACAGCACCGGAGACATGTTGCTGTTCGTTCCTGGGATTGTCTCATTGAGTCCCCAGAGCAATTCTGTGAGTCAGGCATACACTGTAATTTCTATCATACAGCCAGTGGCACAAGATGATAGAGTAAGAAGTTATTGGCACCACTCAGGTCTAAACTCGGGTCTCTCAGAGTGGAGACACTTGCCAGAATCAGTTAAAAGATGACCCTGTAATTGCCACTCTGTGTGGCCCGACTCCTGACCGTCCCTGCCTAGTTTAATGCTTTCTCTGTGGTGACATGCTTCAAGTTTCTAGACCACTTACATTCAATTTATTCTCTCAACTCAGAAGAAACTCTCAGTTGAAGCAAGAGTGGGCGGCAAACAACCTAGATTGGGCCAAATCGGTCATTGTATAACCAAAATAACACTGTTGTGATTGCTTTTCTAAAGACCATGAACTAGAAATCTTTTTCAACCCCACCCCCTTTTTTTTTACAGATTTGGAAAAGCCACAGAAGATTTTGTATTGTAAAAATGACATAAACTTTAAATTTCAGTGTGTGCGTAAAAAAGTTTTGTGAGGATAATTTCATTCATTTACCTGCTGTCTGTGTCTGCTTTTATACCACCACACTTGACATAAATAGCTGCCGAAGAGGCTGAATGACCCATAGGGCTGGCTTCTAGTCCAGACTCGAAGAACAGCATGTTGGTATTTCTTTTCGCTCAGAAGAATAGGAAGGAGTCAGATAATACACATTTCCCACAATATGCAGAGGACATGCAAAAGCAGACTTAAACTTGGTTCTTAGCTCTGTCACAGAGGAACAGCACTGGGGTTTTTGCTGAAGCTGCCCAATTTCTCTGTGCTTCTGAAAACAACAACAGGGCCTCCCTTGAATCTCAGTTGCGAGTTTTCAGTGAAACACTACATGCAGAGCATAATGCAAGCAGCAGGGACCGATTGGAAAACGCAGTCCACGTGTCTGTCAGTGGCACTTCTGATCGCGTCTGTTTATTCAAGCATGTGCATGTCCTATGATAGCAGCAATGTTTGGTGGTGGTGGCGCACACGCCGAATGACGTGAAACTGATGCAGATGAGGTTGGAAGGCAGGGTAAAAAACACATGGAGGAACACGGCTGTTTGTCTTTCGGTGAGCAATGCAGCTTTTCCATGTTGATGGGTCAAGCCATTGTAGTCAGTGAGGCTCAGCTTGTCAACCCACCCTTAGCAGATATGACCACCACTGACATCATTAATTAACTCAGAACACTACAAGGTGAACGAAAAATACCAAACAGAGCCCACAACTTCACCTCTTTGGCCAAAACTCCAGTTTACCCTAAATCTATCCCTATAAGGAAGAATAAAACAATTGTCTATTCAATCGGAATGTCAGTTCTTGATTTTTATCTTCTCTTCTGTACACACGCAAGCTTGCACACACACACACACACACACACACACACTCCTCAAATAATTTTTGTGTTTTATCTTCTTTTTATCAGCATGCTTTGTAAAGAAGATTGCTAGCCTACTTGGTACACTCTGACCTAAGGACTCCAGAGAGAATAGATCCCCAGAGCTTTCAAAGGACCAGGCTTATTCCTTTGGGACAGTGATAGGGAATGCCAACAATCAGCAAGCATTTCTTTTGCCCCTTTCAGTTTTATGTATTTCCTCTATTGTATATATCTAAGTAGGGCTGTCCAGAATCAAGTATAAAACTTGTTTCTGCTATTCCATCTAATGTTCTCCCACTTTTCTGGAAGATAAACACCTCATGCTTTTGTTTCAGCTATGAAATGTTCTTCAACATGGATGTACTTTAGTCATTGATGCATTAGTGTAAGAAAAAAGTCATCTTGCTGGTCCTTGTGTATTGTACACACACATTTCTCCCAGTCTCTCCTTTCCGTTATCCTTCTCCTTTTTCCCTCCCTTGAATTTTTCTTGTTATCCAACTTTTTCTACGTAGGATGGAAAAAAAAATCTCTCTTCTTAGGAAGAAATTGCAGACGGAAGACCATCAGGCATGGAAGGGAGTTCATAGGGTAGTGGCACACTACTCAACAGTTAAATCTATAGAGGATATTTGCTTCAAAACTTGGATGCCATTGCTTGGTCCATAGGGTCACAGGGAGAAGTAGAGGAGACCCAGAGAAAGGCGAATTAGTGTGGAGAGGAAAGATCCACATGTCACATGTCACAGTCACCAGAGCAAGTGTTAAAATCACTTTAGAAATAGGAAGCAGAGGCTTGGGGAGGGGGTAAACACCTAAAGCCTGGGGTACAGATAACTCGTGGGGCTAAGGGTGCATTGACTTCCCTGTTTTAGACTGACCTCATACATAGGACTGTCTGCGCACAGCTCATCCTTCAATGTAATCAAGAAGAACTGCCTCATCTGGGTAGTGTAGCCAAAACACAGAGATGGGCAATGTTTTCTCTTTGAGCCACTGCTTCTGCATAGTTGCTGGAGACTTGAGAGGTCACGGAAGAGTGATAAATTCCAAACATTATCCTAAGAAGATAATCTGAGATTCACAGTCCTAGCATGGAGTGGAAAGCCCGAGACTGTTTGCCGTCTGAGTTACACTTTTGGTTCTCAGTATCTGAACAACCACACAGCCCAGGTCTGGGGCTCCAGGAGAGAACACACTGAGTGGGTGGGCTTGATCCTCTGGTTTATATGCCTAGGGTCCTTTTTGATACCCAGAGAAAGTTTGGAAATTTCTTTAGTCGCCACTGGATTCCAAATTGCAAAGGGTACAGACAGGGTGAGATATGTCCCAGTTCTTGCCCAACTCTAGGAGAATGTCTACATCCCATTTAAATACTTTGTATTTAATATTTAAATAAATTTTAATGAAATTTAGTTTTAATTAATATTTAAATAAAATTTAAATAAATTTCAGCAAAAATCTAGAGTTGGCGTCATTTTCCCTGCTGAGTTTATTATACTGCTTTCTTTCTCCCTTTGAGCTGTTCTTCTTCCTTTCTTCAAACTGTTTCCACACTCCTCAATCTCCCCCTTTTGTTCTATTAAAAACAACCCTGGAACCCCAGAACTCCAGAACTATCTGCTGCTGTCTTCAAAGCCACAGTCCTGGGTGCCTTTGTCTTGAAATGAACCGTGTGTGTACAGCTAGCTGGCTTCAACAAGTTCTTCCTATCTCCAGGTGAATGAAGGTCTCCTAAGTTTTCTACTTTCTGTTCCTTTTTACTTTTCCTTCTTCTCTAGGGAGTGCAGAGATTAGGAGTAAATGTGTCCCCTGAACTGTCCCTGTTTCCCTCCAGATTCAGCTTTCCACTCTGGCCTTCCCTGACAAATGCCTATATAAACTCTCAACAAAGTGCCTTGGAAAAGCATAGGACAGAAGCGTCTGGCTGTCTGGCTGGGGGAGTTTGTTTTATTGTGGCTTTTGGTCGGGTCAGAAATATTTCAGTCCGGAAGATATCAGTCTAATAGGAAAATAACAATAGTACTCGATGAACAAATGGCAGCCACACAGCTGTCCCCGCGCCGATACTCACAGTTCAATGGCGTTCCGGGGGAGGTCGGTTGGAATCTCCGTCACCTTGCTGTCTTGGCAGAGGAAGACCCTGTTAGAGCAATGACAGAGCCAGTGATGACATCCAGTTCCTGAGCCCAGGAGTGCCAGCAAGGAGACGAGGAGCAAGGCCATATTTATTTATCCATCCACCTGTTTTCTTCCTGCACGGGCAGCGAAAACCTCCTCCACACTGCCCGACAAGAGAGATCTGCCAGAATAGGCGAAGTCACATGACCCACCAAGGGATGCTTTTTTTCTTAAATATTTTTTTGTCCCTTGCAAGCAAGAAAAATTAATGTGTGTCAGTAGTGATTTCTGAGGCAACTTAAGCTTCTCCCTTATCCTTCGAGATGTCTAGTTTTTATTCCTTGAACCAAGAATGACAGCCAATAGAACCTTGATGCATGTTTAGAGTAATTCACAGTATTTTACTGCTCAAGGGTCCCTGCTAGCCACCACTGTCTTCCTCTCAGTAATGCAATTGACCCTCCCCGCAAAGGACAGCCATATGACACAGCTCTAAGAAGGGACGACACGAGGCAGACAGGACCTACCTTCAGTGTTTGGCATCATAATATTCCTGTGACTCATCCTGATATAAACCACACATCTGGGCTGTAGTCATCGATGCCCTTTCTTACTTGATTAAAAACATGAATAAGCACTATGCACACTTCAGGGAGGTGGGTTAGCCAGCACTAGGTCTCTGCAAGTGGAGGCATGTGTGATATAGGGTTCTTTGCAGAGATAATTTGCCCTCATTCACTTTATAAAAGTTAATGTTGTCACTAAAAGTTTGTCATTTACTTTTTGATGTTTAGGAATTTATAGAAACTTGGTGAGTAGTTTTTTGCTAAGTGACATTTTACACTGGCTTGACATTCCAGAGAGTCAGGTGGGGAGCTAGTCATGTCTCAAGTCATAAAAATAGTCTCCTAGGATTTTTGGGTTTTTTTTTCTAAAATGTTTTATAATTTTTCTTCTATAGCTTTTAGGATTTGACTTTTTTGGTTTTAATAATCATGTATGATTGGAGGCAGAGATTCAGTTTCTGTATTTACTTAAGAGCATATTATTTTACCACAGAAATCATCAATGGTGCTAGGAATATTTATTTAATAGACCCTTTTCTAATTTATAAAACTGTCTTCTTATAATTCAAACAACTTTTGTGTGGGTCTGTGTGTCCTGGTACATCTATATTATTAAAATTAACATGTCCTAATTACTAAAAATTTAAAATAAACTTTAAATAGACTCCTTGAAAGAGAATTCTTATAAAAATTTATTAGAAATTATGTTGACTAGCAGTTTTACCATATTATTTTCCTACCTAGGATTATTGTGTATTCCCCATGTTTTTAAAAAGGATTTTTTGATGTTATTTTATAAAATGTTACTCTGTTACCCACACATGTCTTAATATTTTTAATCTTATTCCTAAATAATATATCTTATATTATTATGGTACTGATAGTCAATCTTGTATTATGTTTATCTCTCTTTTACAAAAAAAACATAACAAAATAAAAAGTGAATATCAAAACAAAAACAAAAACCAATAAGACAAAATATGTCATAGCAAAACAAAATATCCAGCATGTTTGTTTGTGCTGGCCAACTATTCCTGGGCAAGGACCTGCCATGGAGTTTGATTGACACACACAGTGACACTCTATTAGAGGAGACTGATTTCCCTTTGCCAGTGAGTGTCGATTACAAATAGTACGATGATTTTATTACAATAGCTCTGTAATACAACTTGAAATCTTGGTTGGTGATGCCTCCAGAAATTTTTTTTATTATTCAGGATTGATTTAACTATCATATCTTTTGTGTTTCCATATGAATTTGAAGATTATTTTTTTCAGTGTTGGAATTTTTATGGGAATTACATTGAACCTGTAGATTGTTTTTGTAGGCTGTCCTTTTTCACAATATGAATCATATTGATCCAGCAGTATGGGGGTTCTTTCCATCTTTTGGAGTGTTTTCAATTTCTTTCTTCAATGTCTTAAAGTTTTTATTAATCAAGTGTTTTATTTTCTTGGTGAGAGTTATCTCAAGATTTTTTAGGCTATTATCAAAGGCGCTGTTTCTTTGATTTCTTTCTCCACATCTTTGTCATTTGTAAATGGAAAGGCTACTGATTTTTTCGTGTGTTAATTTTTTATCCTCCTGAAAAGGTTTATCAATGATAGAAGTTTCTTTGTGAATTCCTTAGGGTCTTTCATGTGTAAAATCGTATTGTTTGCAAATAAAGGTATTTTGATGTCTTCCTTTACAATTTGTACCCCTTTGATCCCCATCAGTTACTTATTGGTTTAGCTAAGAGTTAACTACCATATTAACTAGATATTAAAAGAGTTTTTAGGAAAAAAATCTTAAAAAGAGCCTCTCCACTGGTGCAAAGAACTCCAATCAAACCAAATTAGACTGAATCAAAAATGCCCACGTTTAATGAATGTTGTTCTCTCGGGTGGCCAGGAGCATGGTGAGAAATAGACAGAGACAGAGAGCACATGCAAAACCTTAAACCACAGTTGCAGGAGCCTAAATAGCCTGTGAGAGTGGTCCTGGCCCTCCCTGGGGAAGGGTCTGCATTTGGTGGACTTTCCTGGAGGTGGAGTTCTGCCCAAGGCAACTCCCAGGGGAGGAGGGCTAAGATGGAGCTTTCTGCTCAATTGGCATTCCATTGGTGCCTCATGAATAAATGCCAGGGTCTGGGGTGATGCCCCCAACTTAATATTACAAGAGTGAACATCTTTTTATTGTTCCTGATTTTAGTGGAATTGCTTGGGCTCATTTGCTTGGAATACCTTTTTGTATCCATTTACAATAACGTGATATCTATCTTTCATGGTGAGATGTGATTTTTGGATGCAGCAGAAAGATGGCTCATGTTTTCTCTTTTAATCTGTCAGTCTGGGATTTTGGGGGATGGGTATGAATTGAGATAATTCACATTGAGAGTTAATGAGCAGTGTTACTTATTGCTATTACTTTACTGTTGTGTGGGATCCCCCACCTTTTGATTTACTGTTCTTGAATAATATATTTCTTGTGTCATCTTGAGTACATTTCTTTACATTGAGTTAACTTGAGTTCTTTACATTGAGGTTTTCCTTCTAGTACCTTCTGTAGAGCTGGATTAGTAGATAGAAAATTGCTTGAATTTGATTTTATTGTAGAATGTTTTCTTCTTCTCTTTCTCCTTCTACTCCCTCTTCAATTGTGATCGATACTTTTGCTCAGTACAGTAGTCTGGGCTGGCATCTGTGGTCTTTCATAGCTTGTAGAGCATCATTACAGGTCCTCCTGGCTCTCAGAATTGCCACTGAGAAATAAGGTGTTATTCTTATAGGCCTGCCTTCGTAAGTGTCTTGGTCTTTTCCCTTTGCAGCTGTAAGTGTTCTTACTTCATTCTGTACATTTAATGTTTTGATTGTTATATGTCCTTGGAACTTCCTTTTCTGATCCTGTCTATTTTGTCTTCTGAATGCTTGTTGTACCTTGGTAGTCATCTTGTTCTTTAGGTTGAAGAAATTTTCTTCTATGATTTTATTAAAAGTATTTTCTGACATTTGACCTGAGTTCCTTCTTCAACCTCTATACCTATTATTCTTAAGTTTGATCTTTTCATAGTTTCCTGAATTTCCTAAATATCTTGTGCTTGGATTTAAAAAAAAATATTTCCCATTTTATTTGACTGGGATATCTATTTCTTCTAGGTTGTCTTTAAGATCTGAAATCCTCTCTTCTACAGCTTTTATTCTTTCAGTGAGTCTTACCTGTAAGGTTTTTGTTTGACATCTTAAGTTATTCATTTCTAATTTTATTTCAGTTTGGGTTTTCTTTAGTGATTCTATTTCTTTATTAAATTCTGCTTTCTTGTGTTGTATTGTTTTCATTATTTCATTTTACTGTTTTCACAGTCTTCATTAAGGCATCTGTCCAGTTCCCTGTAAGGTTCTTTAACACATTCATCATGGCTACTCTGAAGTCCTTGTCTTGGGCTTCATTTGAATTGCTTTCCTCAGAGCCTATTGCAATAGGGTCTCTGGCTTCTAGAGGAGAAATGTTGTCCCGACTGTGTTTGTGTTTTTACACTGAGATCTAGGCATCCAGGGTAATGATGTTTAAAATGTTTCTTGGTGTGGTCATCTGTTTTCACCTTGTGGGTTGGTGTTCTATTCTTTGATCACTATTTTTCAGTCTGGATCTTCAGCAAGTGTAGTGTCTGTGGTGTCCCTAGTAGAAAGTGATTTTTCAAGTCAGCAGGTGGCATAGCAAAAGGAATTCCAGTCAGAAGAAAAAGGCTGAGAGAGTCAGGGCTGGCATGGAGGTAGGTGCTTCCTGAGTTCACACAGGCGGCAGAGTCTCCAGTCATGATGTTTGGGGGAAAGAGCTGCCCTGCTGGCAGGCTGCAGCAGTATGGTAATTTCCTTCTTTTTAAAAGATGAAGTTAGTCATTTGCATTTTATCACAACTGTTGGCTTTTGTTCTGTGCTCCATCAGTGCTTTTGGAAAGACTGGAATGTTTTTAAGGGTGTAAATCGACGTGGCTCACTCCCTGAAGCAGCTGCACAGACTTGCATTTTTCTTAGAGTGGAAACAAAGCCTATGCATGACATTCATAGAAGGGGAGTCGCGTTTGTGACAGCAGTGTCTGGAACTATTATTGCCAGCAGAAGAGAAAAATCTCCTTCTAATGTAAAGAGGAATCAGATGGGAAATGGTGATAAACCTAAATTAAATTCTTTATTACTGAGATTTGAACTCTGAACCCTGAAGAAAACAAATCTCATTTTCCCTGCTGTAAATTTCTTGCTCAACTGTCTTCATCATTTTCACTCTGTCATCGCTTTCCTGCCTGTCACTCTGTCTCATAAAGAGCCCTTTCTGGAGGATATTTGCTAGTTCCTCCTTCTTGCAATGGACACTTTATAGACAGCACCTTCTTAGAGAGGAACAAATATATAAATGTAAGGCTATCATAACTGTGATTGTGATGATTACCTTAGAAATCATCTTCTAAGTTGTCTCTTAGATTTTTTTTTTATTGAGAAAAGGAGAAAAAAAAAACAAACAAGTTTCCACCTCCTCCCAGCCTCCCATTTCCCTCCCCCTCC